TTTCAAAAATAATGCCCAAGACAAGAAGATATTAAGGTCATCAGATAATTATAAGATCAAAGTGACGATCCATGATTGCTGCTGATCCAAGCTGGTAAAATTTTAGTTTTTATAATTTTGTGTCTTTCAATGCTAGTAAATTGTAAATACATGTAACTCTTATTTATTTAATTTATTTATTCTCTTATTTTTCACTATAAGTTCACCTTTCACCTACTAGTCTTACTAAGTATGGTATAGACTATAGCAATTAAGTAATTATCTCACCTGGTCAAATTCCCGTTTTGCACACATTTTTTAATTACCTGTAATTCAAATGTGTGCAAAACGGGAACAAACCGCATTTTGGTATACAAAGAATTCCATTGTATCCAAACTTTGATTGATTTTTTTAAAACATCATTTTATCTTTTTCAGAAAGAAAGAAATACTTCCTAAAAAGAAAAAGAGGGACAGACAAATTGAATCAAGTTACAAAAAGCACAAATCTCATTACAGGAATTCATCAGAGTCAGGTATACTGTAGATCATTTTATTTTCGCAACACCTTATTTTCGCGAGATAGTCACTGACTCTTGTTTAGCGAGACAAAATTTTTACAAATTGTGGTTATTGCTCTGTATAATCATAAGGAATACTATTATACACAGGAATTAAATTTTCGCAAGCACTGTCTTGCGTAATTACGCAAAAATAAAGTTCTTGCGAATAAAAAGTGATTTACAGTAGTCAGCATAGAGTATTTATATAAATAGCTAAAGTATTGCCAGGGAATGAAATATTGCATATTGGACAATTTGTAATCCACATGTTAACAGATAAAGTATTGTCAGTGCATAAAATATTGGACAGTTTGAAATGAACAAATGAACAGATAAGGTATCATCAGCACATAGAATATTGGACAATCTGTTACATGTACCGGTGTGGTAGGTGTGTAATGAATTGTTACTTGGGAATTTTCAGAAGACGCAGAACACCCTGGGGTTTCATCAAGTATGGAGAAGGAGAAGTCTAGTGAAGAGGAGAAATCTTTATGGAGTGGTCCAGCAAAAATATCAGAGGAAAAATCAAGGTATTCAATCAGAAATTTTGTTACTTCAGAACACAACAAAGCCATGTCAAATTTTACACTCCACTTTACCTTTACAAAAAGTATTGTCAGAGGTGATGATAAGGTACAGTACTATTGCTTTGCATCAAGATTACAACTAGTTCCTATTTTATGAATCTCAAGTGAATCATTTGGGATTGCATTCAAAAAAATTATCTGATTTTGTTCTCTTTAAGGAAAAGGGGAGGCAGTTGTAAAAATGAGAATTTCTAGAAATGGACTGAACCTATGTCAAATTAAAATGATTATTTTTGTCTAATATCCAGCTTCTAATATAAATCCCATGTACTCTCATGCTTGCTAAAATCAGTAATTTTTTTTTATTTCAGAGAAGAAGAATTTGAAGATTACTTTGAAGATATGTTTTTATGATAAACTATATAAAATTAAACAAAATTGTTCTTGTATTTCCAATCAACCCAAGTGTTATTCCTCTCTCTTAGTCATGTCTGTATCTGAACTTGACAACCCCATGCCATAAGCCATAATCAATACCCTTCATACATGCCAACTTTCCCGATTTAGGCGGGATCCTCCCGATTTTACCCTTTCATCCCGCCTTCCCGATCGGGAGAGAAAAAATGGCCTAATTTCCCGATTTGAAAAAAAAATCACCTTAAAATTTCAGATTTTAAAAGTTTCCCTACCGCTGAATTTTGACAATGGGATAACAATGTCAGACTTGTATATTCAATGCACACAGATAAGTTTCATTGTTTATTTAACCAGATGTTAATTACTAATTAGCCACAGGAAAACTTCACGCATGAACGCAAGTTGTCCAGGTACGAGTAGCTTATAGCTTGGGGCAATTAGGGTATTACTTGTCAGTTTTAAAAAGGTGAAACACATAGATTAACGTGAAAACTGTTAGTCATTTTCTTAAAAACATAAATTAAAGACAATAAAATACTAATTAAACCATAAAATCGGAATCCAAAGAGATCGTTTTTTGAAAACGAATGTAAAAAATTACAAAGCATAGCTGATGATTTTATCTACCTATAATGAAAACTATTTCTAAGTTGCCAATTAAAATATTATGAAAAATGAATAATATGAAAAAATTAAGATGAAACAATCAAGTGTATTTCAATTACAATTTCTTTTCCCTCCCTTCTCCCAGAAGTAATGTGCATGACTTAAAGAAATACCCACATGGCACCATCAAGCCTGACAAATTTCATGACTGTTAAAAAAAGGAATTTTCTTTTACATAGGTGGTATAAATTTCTGTAAATTTAATATAAAAAATCTCAAAAATATATGTTTCCAGAAACAGGACTTTACAGTATCAAAACTTCATATTTTTTAGCCTTTGAAAAAATGATTTAAAAGTTGTAAAATTTTCAATTTTTCACTAAATTATGTGTTCTGGTAGAAAAAAATGTTATTTACATATGTAACTAAATACCCCTTCTTAAGTGAAAGAGGCACTTATTTTAGCAGAAATATTTCAATTTTGGAAAGAAAAACATTATTTTTTGTGTTAAATTAATTCTTAAGTTGTATTGATAAGTAATATCAATATTATAAATTAAAAAAAAAAAATTCATAATCATTTAATTTCACGACAAAATGTCGCGAATTTAAAGCTTTGAAAATTGTCGTCATGCGCTAAATCCCACATGGGAATTTTCAAAAGTTGGCATGTATGACCCTTTCTCTGTCAAGAGAAGAGTAAATTTTGAAGTCTATAAAAAAAAATACGAAGAAAATGTGGCTCTTTGACAAATTACACACATTTTTGATAAATTTCAGACAACTCAGTGTCATATAATATTGATTATGTTAATAATGAGAGTTTATTTCCCAAAACAACTCCATCTAGAAATTTGCAAGCTTTTTCTATAATTCCCCTAAAAGAGCCCACATACAAAAATCACAAGATTTATCTAACCAATCAGGTCAGTTAACAATCTTCGAGGTTTCAGCAGTTGTGTTTACATACAGTAAAGATTTGTTCATACCTCCACCTCCCCATCCACCAACCATTTTCTTGGGTAATAGACATGCAAAAAGGGTTCATGATGTTATTTGATTGTGTCTGTTATGGTTAGTCTAATATTTTTGTGTGATTGTCTTGGCATATTACTTCATGGTATGTTTACCATTCCATTTTTCCCAAGCATGGGATATTGTACATGTACGTATATCATTCAGCATTATTGTTGAGTACTTATGTTATGACAATTATCAAATATTGCACATAGCTCATACTTAGGTAGGATTACTCTGCTCTTTACACAGGTGCTAGTGAACATAGCTCAAAAATATAATGAATCATGTGAGCATGTCTCACGTTAGTGCCTTAGTGGACATAGCTCATATAGGCAAGATTTCCTTGCCCTCAGCCTTCCTGTATCAGGTGCTAGTGAGCATGTTTCATATAGGCAAGTTTTACTTGCTCTCAGCCTGTTGCTCATCCAATTCCAAAGAGTAAGTTCTATCTTGTTAAGTAATTCGAGTCTTCTTTTTTATGCTGCTGATAAATACTTAGATCACTTTGTGTTCAATTACATAGCTGCATGAGCCCTATAGGCAAGTTTTAAATTTAGATTAATAAATGATGAAACTTGATAACTTCTTTGTTGTTTTGGGGTAAAAAATGAACACCTTTATTTTGTTAATTACACACAAAAATATAATGTCATGTCAGGTTATGTAAAACACCTCCTCATTTCACACAGTCTGTGGCACTTGTTGAATTAATTTAAAAAAGTTTCTATACCGTTTTTCTACTTGATTTGCTTATATATTCAGTCATTTGAGTATCAAGATAATTCTTTGAAGTCTCTTTTTAAGAAAATCTTTTAACATTTGTACACCAACGATAACTAACCGTAACTGTTCTATCCCTTGTTAACTACCGAATTAGTTAACTATAGCCCCCCCCCCCCTCTTGAAAATCAATGTTTGTTAGATAACTTTATATCTAGTACAATTATTTATCCAGCATATCTTTAGATCCAGTGGCGTAGCATCGCTTTTGAAAGTGGGGGGGGGGGGGGGCCAGCCAAAGGAAAAAATTTTTTTTACTTACCTGAAAAAAAGTTGACAAGCAAAAAAAAAAAGGAAAGGGTTGCCCAAAGTCGAAAATCCTATTTCGTGGGGTGGGGGTGGGGGTAGGGGGTAGGTAAACTTTTTCTCAGTGTCAACTACATTAAGTACCAATTCTAATACTACATTTTCGGTAATTCACTAAAAGTGAGGGGGCAACCAGGCTTTCAATTAATATTTCCTGTAGTGGAAGTAAGGTTGGGAAAAAAAGTGGGGGGCCGGGGGGGGGGGGGGGGGGCTGGCGATGTTGCTACGCCCCTGAGATCATGATTTCAACAATTTGTACTACCTAAGTAACCCCCCCCTCCCGGAAAAGGACCTGGTCTATTCAGACAATGACTTTTTTTAAACTAGTGGTTCTTGAACATGTTCATAGTTTACAGACAAACAGACAATGGAGATAAAAGATCACTTGAACTTTCAGCTCAGTAGTCCAAAAATTTTACTTGGCAATCGTAATAAAGAAAAATCGTAAAAAATGCCTGGAAACAGATATTTCGGTCTATATATCAGCTTAGACGAGGTAAAAAAGAAAAAAAAACTAACAGGAGGAAATGGAAAATATAGCAATATGGGCAATTAAGCAAAACTCATACTAAGGACTTTAATTGTTTCTCATTGTAAATAGTTATCTCGTTAAAATAAGATATGTTTATTATAAAAACTTTATAACTCTATAATAAGCAATATCCTTTTAATACCCAATATAGAACTAATACATTATGCTATGTCAGCTAGAGTACAGTACTTGATAACGAATCACGATGTTTTCTGCCTGGTACTACTATGTAATAATTTCCGCTTCAGTACCAGGAATTAGAAATGATATATATTCATTTTGTTTAACTTTTATCTAATCATTCCTTTTTTTTCAACTGACGTGATCTTGGATTAATTACAAATCTCACTGCAGTTTAAATTATTGAGAGTTGTAAGTATATACATCAATTTATGAATAAATTTATTCTAAAGTTTTAATCGTCCAAATAACCAAATTACAGATTTGTTTTAAGTTCGCCCAAATCATCCAGCAGCACAGAATTTACATCTTTATGCGTACTAGTGAAAGTCGCTGATCTTTAATTCTTATTCGACGTTTCTTTTTCCTTGTGTATGCACAATCATAATTTCGTAATTTTTCACTTTCAGCCTTAATAATTATGAAGTGGATAAACAGCATTCTACTGACATTTTTTATGTCTTTCATTGCAAGAAGTAAAGCTAGTTGCGAGATCAGCAATTCCTCTGTTTCGAAACACAGGACGGACTTTCAAGGATTAGTTTCAGCAGGGAATAAATTAATTTATGTTTATATCAACTCAAGCTTCTTAAAAGAAAACATAGTTGACGAATTTCATCGCAACCGAATCCTGGAATGGATTTGGGTTACTCGGAACTACAAACATTTTCTTGGTTATCCGCTTGACTTGGATGTACTCACTCTAAATGTAATGAGAAGAGACGTCGATGTTTTGAGACTAAATATCGATTTGGTCAATGAAACGAACTGTGTCAACGTGTCTGATCCTGGTTTTATACGCAGCTATCTGACAAACATACTAGTATTTAATGAATCTATTAGTACATGTAAATCATTTTTTGACTCTGACGTAAAACGTTGGATTTGTCATCGATTCTTCGAAAATCAAGAGTTCAAACGTACTCTGTTTGATCTTTCGCACGTTTCTATTGGATACGACTTTCAGTGTTACTCCTCCAAACCCAATGTTGTGACGCAAGATGGGACGCATGAGCTGAAGTCCAGGGTTGTGTACCTTATTGTTGCCCTTGTCCTCCTCGCCTTTTTATTCACCCCAACTTATCTTTCTGTCGCAATACCAGACGAGACCAAGTGTCTTTTCGAACATTACCGGAAGTCGGACTACCCATACAGCCCCCGTCGTTTGTTTCGATACGTTCTTTTTTATAAAAATTGTTGCAAATTTGACTGTCTCGTCCGATTCACTCTGATAACTTTTCTGTGTTGTGTACTGTTCTTCGTCTTAAAACGAAGTATGTTGTTTGATTTACCAACTCCGTTGTCCGAGTACCCAAGGGTTTATGACACGACTATTGAACAAATGTCAAGGGAAATGTATGCTTTCAAAACTGTTTTGTTTACCATATGGTTTTTGATAATGATGATTGGTCTCTTCTATCTCTCTAAAGACCAAGGGGATACGTTCTTACTTCTTGATGTTTTGGGTTGTTTGGACCGAGGAGAATTTGCGTTGCCTAATACAAAGACACGGTGTGGTCCTCTTAAAACGGTATCCGTTCATTCTGTCTTAGCAGTCTTGCATGCAGAGGAATGCAAATCCATTTGCAGGCAAACAATTCACAAGTTCTATTTACTTGTTTCTGTTAGGTTTTGGACAATTATTTTCCTTGAAGGTTTTCGATTTGCACCAAACAGAAATTTACGATGGATTTGTGTTTCTTTGGCAATAATACAATTCCCTATAAATGTCTGCGTGACTTTTCTTCTAATCTCGTGTCCTTTACTTAACTACACATTTCAAAGCTTATTGTGCTTATTGCAAAAGTTTACAGAAATAAATAGCAATAATTTTTACATTAAAACTTTACAAAAGATTACCGGTTGTTTATCAACAGTACTTTCTATTGGTTACATGTTTGCACTATATTATTACTTCACAGACAATGTCATAATCATAGGCTTTACATATTTCTTCCAAGCCACAATTTACCTTTTATTGGTTGCGGCTCCTCATCTGTATGCGACAAATTTTCGAATCTTTTTGTTTTGGGGATCGTCCATTCTATATTTATTGTTATATATTATTGAAAGTTTTGATTTGTACAAAGTGCTTCTAAATAAGATTTTAAAAATCAATGGTACATCCGAAATTAAAATCAGGATTTTTGAGAAAATAGCAGGGCGTTTCTTTCCATTGCGATTGGAACTATTTGTTGTAATTGGGAAAATATGCGTAACATTCATGATTCTGTTCATCATTTATGATACTCTTAAATTCGTTCATTATTTGGACGAGAAAAGTTCTTTTGATCTGCATCAGGTTTTCTCTCTCCTCTTTACTCTTACTCCAGGACTTCTTGAAAAGTACTTCATTGAAAGCAACAAAGATAAGGTCACAAGACTTGGTGATGAAATTCGTGATTATTTAATGGAACTAAATGAAAATCCACCCGTCGCCGAGAACACTGTACCCTGCTGTTGTGACTGCTGTCGTGTGATTGGCCAAATTGTTATGGAAAGGCGGGAAATATACACATGTGACATATCCTGTTCGAGTTGTTTACTTGAAACTCGGAAAAACCATAACAACTACGATGAAATGCAATGATTCCTTGAATTATACTTGACTACAAAGTATTTTGAGAAATAATACTTCAGAAAAATCCAAAGACTGTCGTGGATTTAATGAAAGCAGATTGCAGTTGTCAAACACCACCAATGATAATATTTATGTAAAAGATACAGATGTATCTTTGAAGGAGTTAACAAGATTGGCAAGACGATTTCCTTAAGCGAAGATATCTTTGTTAAATAACATAGATATAGATTTACTTTAGAAAGAGAGATAATAAATTAAGTTTCATATGCAATTCTGTTTGTCTTGCTTGGAAGGTTTGTAAAGGAAAAGAGTATATCATGACATGGTTTACAGTATATTTGAAATGTGTTTCTGAAACACTGATGCCCTTGTTTAGCATCTTATGGCGAGGGTGGTCAAAATTGATGGTATCCAAAGGAAGGCCTTGTCACAAGGAATAAACCTGTGAAATTGAAAGCCTCTGTACCGACTAACAAAAGTGATGGCCAAGGTTAAAGTGTTTTAAAGTGGGATAAACTCTAAGGTCAAAGTCAAAGGTGGTATCTCAAAGAAAGTTCTTGTCAAAAGGAATATGCCTGTAAAATATGAAAGTCTTATAGTCCCATCCACCCAAAAGTTACGGCCAAGGTTAAAGTTTTTGCGGACAAACAGCCAGACGGCCGGATGGACATGGCAAAAACTTTATACACTTGCATCTTTGATTACGGGGGCATAAAAATAATTTGCCAACAAAACATACAGTATTTTCATATATGTAGTCAGAACATTTGGCAAATGCATTACACATTAACTGTTCTTCAACAATGAATTTAACTATCATAAGTGTATTTCACTATTTTGTACCAGTGTAAGATAAAATCATTATCAAAACATTCTGTCAAACTCAAAAATGCCACACAACATTCTTGAGGAAGTCAAATTTGTTCAAAAGTACCATGGCCACATTTGGGGATAAATGTTTTACATAAGAATTATGTCACCGGGTACACAGGTGCGTGAAAGCTCAGTTGGTTAGAGCGCTGGCACGGTACGCCAGAGGCCCTGGGATCGAGTCCCGGTTGAGACTTGATTTTTCACCACCTGTGACATAAACACATTTCTGGCTGACATCTTGTACATACTGCGACTCCCCATATCTCTCTGGCTGTTTACTGACTCTAGTTGATCTTCTTGGAGGTGGAGTACTAATACTGGGCGAATTCACTGAAATTGAAGATCTAGAAAAAGAAGATGGCATAGTAGATTCATGTAAAGAAGAATGGTTCGATGACTGTCGAAGAGACGAATGGTTCATAGTTGACTGTCGAGGAGAGGATTGAGGACTTTGTCTATGACGACGCTGTGGTATGATGTATACCGGTACTCCGCTATCACTCTCATCTGACGAACTCTGAGATGAATCATCTGAAGGAATAGTGGCTATGGTCTGATGACTTTGATTCTTTTTGACCTGTTTGGAAACTGGAGATGAAATAACATTAGTCGGAATACAATTAAAAGGCAAAAGAAAATTTCTGTGGAGGGTACGGGTAGACCCTTTTCCGTCCTCACACCTAACAACATAAACTGGAATTTCTTCATTTGGAATACCTAAAATAATGTAAACATATTCATCCCACTTGTCTGCAAGTTTATGCTTTTCTTTGAAACCCACTTTTCTAACTAAAACTCTATCCCCAATTTCTAACTTAGAATTTCTAACTTTCCAATCAAAATTTTCTTTATTTTTCTCTGCATTTTTCTTTGATTCTTCTGCGGCAACTTTATAAGAATACTGTAATCTTTCTTGAAGTTTATGAACATACGACTGGTGATCTTTTGCTCCTACATTCTGATTTCCTGGTTTGATTCCTAAGAATGCATCTAGTGACAGGTGTGGATGCCATCCGAACATTAAAAAATGTGGAGAATACCCAGTGGCATCATTCTTGACTGAATTGTAGGCATGTACTAATGTTGTAACATAAGATTTCCAATCTGCTTTCTGGCTTTCCTCTAGTGTACTTAACATCTTAATAAGGGTTTGATTAAATCTTTCAACTGATCCGTTGCCTTCAGGATGGTATGGCGTTGTTCTCGATTTCTTGATATTAGCTATCTTGCAGAATTCTTTGATGACTTTGCTTTCGAAATTTCTCCCTTGGTCGCTATGATGTTGATCTGGAAAACTGTAATGGACAATAAAATTTTCATATAAAGCTTTAGCTGTTGTAGTCGCTAACTGGTTTTTCAATGGAACTGCGCAGGCGTATCTGGTGAAGTGGTCTGTAATAACAAGGATATTTTCAAACCCCCCTTTACATTTCTCTAAGGACAAAAAATCAATACAAAGAATTTCTAGTGGTTTTGTTGAAGTAATGGGATGAAGATTGGCTCTTGGTCTGACAGGTGTTTTACTTCTGATCATCTCTCACAGTTCTCTACGTAATAGTAAGATCATATGAAGAGAAATCTTCGTCATGAAGAATGGGCGGAGTGAAGCAGAGCCCATTCTTCGTGACGAAGATTTCTCTTCATATGATCTTACTGACTTACAATGAAGCGCATTGAAGTGGTAAAATTTTCTGTTCGGATGGAACGTTTTGAGCTATCTTTAGACACGCCCATTTTTTTAGAAAGGAAAAATCGGTCAAATGATTCAATTGAATACCTGTAGAACAGGTATTTCATAAATAGAATAGCCAATGAAATTGAAGGTCTACATAAACACCGAGTAAGCACGTGTTCGACTGATACATGTGTTATGCTAAATCCAATAAACACGATAAAATCATAATTATGTATAAAATCGTCTCAATGCGTGTTTTACATATAAGCGGAAACTCTCTATATGTCTCTTTCTTATATAAAAATTTTAATTTCAGTGTAACTCATGTTTTTTGTGCGGAAAGTGTAATGTCCTAAAACATTACGACGAATATTCCTGTCTCGTTTCTAAAGAAATGGGCGTGTCGTAATGTTATAATTGACGTTCAAAACATGACTCAGAACGTTTCATCCAAATGGAAAATTTTGCCACTTCAATGCGCTTCATTGTAGAACAGAACTTCAGCCAATCAAATGCATGGATTAAAAATAAACTCCTCCCACGGCTGTATCATATATAAGACTCAACTTGACCGCTCGTTGTACATATTGAGCACGCAATCAATATCGAACACACGCGGTTTCAGAATGGACTCCCAACTTATTCAGGTTAGCACGGGATTATATGAAATACCTTGATTTACTGGGGAAATGGTATGGTAAAGATATTAAAGTTATTGATCTAATGAATACCATAGGCATCGGAAGCAAATTGAAAGTTGGGGGGGGGGGGGGGCTAAACCAACAAAAAAAGGTAAACCATAATTTTCAATGCCTTTATAATGTATATATTTGGAAGAAAAGTGGGGGGGGGGGGGCTAAAAAACCACCCCCCCCACCCCGGTTCCGACACCTATGAATACCTATGTAACAAGAATCGTAATATCTACATTTTTGAAAAATGATTGTGTTAAGATGACAAGGCCCTAGTCAGCAGGAGTGGGTATGGCTGTCAAATATCAAATAAAAATTTGATGAAAATTGTGATTAAATCTGTCTTTAAAGACAAGGTTCGTCTTTGATATACATGACGATGGTTGTATTTTCTGTATGCACCGAAATGTGTAAAAAAATAATATTCAAAAAGGCGACAAAAGATTACAGTGGGGAAAAAATGTAGCAAGGCATAGAAAGTTTAGATATCATGATTGTAAACAGCACATGGGTTTTGAATAGTTTCTTTTTGTGTGCTGAACAAAGACCAATGAAGACACACCCATCTAACTGTCAAGTGAACCAATCAGACACCATTGAATTTTTCAGAAATAGAAGAATTCTTCACCATGAAGAATCAATTCTTCGAGAGAAATGGAAGCATTTCATTGGCTGAATAAGTAGGTTATGTTCTAACCTGGCTTTGATGTCTTGTTCTAACCCTGGATAATAAACTCTCTGCTTCGCTAGCCAAATGGTCTTCTCTATTCCTGGGTGTCCTACTTTGTGAATTCCTACCAAAACTACATCTTTGAAATGATCTGGCAAACAAAGTTGAATAACTTTCTCTCCGTCTAAGAAGGAATTTCTGTATAAGATCTCATCGATGATCTGAAGTTTCTTTCTCTCTCTTAAATATTTCTGAACCATTTTTGTTTCTTTCCTACCCTTCTCTCCCTGCTCTAAAATCTCTATGACTCTGGCTATGGTCTTATCTTCTCTCTGTTCTTTCTTCCAGTCGATGTCTGACATATCTGTTGCTGTAATCTCGTCTGATGGAAAGTTCTGTGATAGTGTTTCTGCAGCTGAAATGTCTAAAGAAACTGAATTATGTTCCCCAAACGGAGTTTGGGAACATATTGTTTTTACTCGGTTTCTTATTATGTTCCCCAAACGGAGTTTGGGAACATATTGTTTTTACTCGGTTTCTTATTATTAAGGTCTTCCGTCTTCAGCGGAAGACCTTACTGTTATTCTTAGGTTTCTTTTCCACTATTTTTATTATTTTTTTTATTGTTTTTTTTTCTTACCGATTTTGTGCACGCGATTTCTTGGAAACGGCTCCATAGATTTTCATGAAACTTTCAGGACTGATAAAACATCAAGCAAACCTGATAGATAATTTTTTGTTTTGATGACGTCACTTCCGGTTTTGAGATTTTCGCGATTTAGTGATTTTTAGAGGGTCACTTTGTCCGGCAGTTTTCTCAAAAAGTACTTAACACAGAAGCATGAAATTTTCAGCGATGATAGAGCAACATGTGCTGATGTGACATACACCAATCTTTTTCTCCGGAAGTGCAGCATGTCGGCGCTCGCTATGGCCCGAAAATAGTCCTACCAAGAATTTCAAAATTTTTAACACCTTTTCTACGATAACTTTTTACCTAGAAATATTTTGTCAAAACATGTAGAACAAAAGAAATGTAGAATTGCACGATCTTTCAAATGATATCCAAGAAAAAGGGCTGGCCCCTAAAATAAAGGATCCCGAGGGGCCAAAACGTTTTATCTGATATCTCAAAAAGTGTTGACAATTTGTTATGCATCATAGAAGGGAAGTTGTTCAAAATAATAAATAGCAGAGGCAGAGATCATTTAAAGTCGTTAAAATACCGTCACTTCCGGTCAGGCCGGAAGTATTTGTAAATGACTGGTTTTTTTGCACACATAACCGTAAATGTCTATCAATCTCGACATCATCTTCTTCAGAATTAGACGGAAGACTTATTTGTTGCTTTGCAA